TGACATCAGGGCTTTCCTCTTGAAGAAAGCACATGGGAACCGGAAGAAAACGTGGCGTGCCATGAGTTGATTGCGGAATTCGAAAGAAAACGTGCCAAGGTAAGCCGTACAAACATTATCTTGTCTGTGCAATTCGTAATTGCTTGTTACTTCATTTAGACTGAGAAAAAGGAGCCCTCTACTTCGACCGAGAAACGCGAAGAAAAACAGCTACATCGCATCATAGGTCTGACTGACTCACCTGGAGAACTGCATTTCCTTATTAAATGGAAAGATCATACTGCCGATCTTGTACCTGCCAAAGAAGCGAATGTGAAGTCAGTTTCAAAAAAATTTGATTCGGACGGTAACTGAATCAGACCGAACTGTTGATTGTTTCAGGTATCCACAGGAAGTGATCCGATTTTATGAAGAAAGGCTCAAACTGCAATCACGTTAAATGTCAGTGATGATTGTGTGGATAATGCTTTACAATACCAAGTTCACTAGTGTATATTTGTTTTGTCGTGGGTTAGGTGCATATGATCTCACGACTATTGTATGTTCAATTTTTCAGTTTTTGGGTTCAATCCCATTTATTTGTTAGTCATTGAAAATGAAAATTCAACAACTATAATAGTATCACAAGAGTATTCAGTGAAAAAATAAGTCTTCATCCCTTAAAAACGCAACAGCAAAACACAAAATTTTTAGCTTAATAGGCTTTCTACATCCATCTCTACAATCTCAACATCAGGAAAATCTCGTGCAAGTGTAGATGTGCTTCCAACTTCTCCAATGATTCTAGACAGAGTAGGCACTGGGACAATTTTCATGTATTCTGGATCAAGGTGGCATTTCGGGAGTATTGCAGAGTTTACCTGGAATCAAATTAACCATTCAAGGGAAATCAATAATGGGTTTAAGAATGGAAGTAGAATGATCACTACAGGCTTGAATTTTCCAAAAAAAAAAAAGATTTTTAAGACTAGGTATATCCAGTTCAGTTTATTTAGCAGTAGTAACTAGCATGGTTAGTTTATTCAGTTAATCTACAATGAAATCAACAGGTGTAGAAGCACGCCGCAGTGCCATATGGGCGGAGCGAAACGTTGTTCATCGCATAATTCTTTTCAAAGATTCTTCTTTCCTTTAGTAGTTGAAGAGGCTTACCTCGTACTTGGAGATAACATGCTTGAGACGGGAGGGATCTGGGTGGTCCAGAATGCCTTCAAACTAAAATTTGGGCTTAAAATTTTTTCCACTAGCCAAGGTAAAGTATCCGAACTCCGCAATGTGGTTTGACTTCCATAGTAGGTAGAGTTTACCTATTGCTCTAAATGAGAAACATACCGTAACAAGCACGTTCCTACTAAACCATGGAGCCAGTATCCCCACTAATCCCAAAGGTGTTTGTGGGTGAGCCAACGAAAGACAGAGGGAGATCGTATTGGTGGAGTACCGCTCCACCGCATGTAACACTTGTCCTGTGGTTATGGTACGAAGCTTTAAATCAGGCGTCCTAGAAAAAGCAATTTGTTTTTGATAGGAGGAATTAGGTGAT